TCAACCGCGTCTGAACGCAGCAAATGTTTCACTGGAGACGCGTTTTATTGCGTTTCTCTGCTGCATTTTACACGCAACAAAACGCAACTCAGACGCGTTTTTATCAAAAAAAAATTTACATGGGTATTTATTTCAAAAGTAAAGTAGATACACAGTATCGTTATAGAGGTTTTTCATAGATTAAACTGTTGCATTGCATGCATACACGATGGTCAGTAAATTATTTTGATATCGATGTGAAGCTACTAGGAGAGATTTAGGTAATCTCAGAGTTTCAACGATGAGAATCCAGCGGTTACCTAAATTCGTCGTGGTAACTTTACATCGATTATATTGATGACTAGACAATTCATGTGAAGTTCTCACTGCAGATGAAAGAAAAAAACGAAAGCAAATCTTTTTATCTAATGCACATAGGCGGCGGAGCCATTAGGCCTGGGTAGGCTCGATTTTACAGGAAAATTTTCTGATATTGTGCAATTTTTATGCCTTGATAGATGACGCATTAGTACAAGATCAGTGGACATTTTTTCTATTGTCAACTTGTGTCCAGTGTGGTATTTATTGGACACTGTCGGTATATGTATCAAATGTTGAAACAATATGTATGCTTTTCAAGTTAAAACTTAATAGATTATTCTTTAATTTTAAATATATCCAAAATAAATTTTAATTTTTTAGATATTTAAGTATCATTTTTCTTTTCGTATAACAATGCCGGCTAAACAAACTCAAATCATGTCTTTTTTTCAAAATAAAAAACGAAAGATCAATAATAGTTTTGATGGAAATTCTCTTCCAGTTGATACATCATCAACTATATCAAATGAACCTCAAGAAGAATTGGAATTGTGTGAAGAAATTCCATCATTTGAACCACCAACAATTTCAGCACCAGTTTCACCAACAGCAGCTCCTTCAAGAACAACTTCATCAACAACAGTTTTATCCGCACCATCTTCACCAACAACAATTTTATCAAGACTAACTTTATCAACATCACCTCCATCAATACCAACTTCAACAAAAATCGCTTCATCAGCACCAACTTCACCAATACAAAAATTAAAATGTGAACTTGCATGTTGTACATCTGAATATCCATTTGTTCCTGAAGATCAATCTGATCTTGAGTCAACCGGTCGTAAACGAATTTGTCAACTAGGATGGTTTACGAAATTCAAATGGTTATCGTACTGTAAAGTAAGGAATAATAAAGATACAATCATAAATGATCATTCTGCTGAATGATTTTAATTTTTCTCATTTTGTCTTTTTATAGAGTAAGAAAAAAGTGTATTGTTATTTCTGTCGTTATGCCTATTTTGGTGGTTTTCATCCGGAAATAAATAAAATTGGAGAAACATCATTGACTTTTGCAGGTTATGAAGATTGGAAAAATGCATTAGCTCGTTTCGTTAAGCATGAATCTGGTAAAATACATAGTGACTGTGTCTATCTAGTAAAACAACAACAAAAACCAACAGTTGCTGCTCGTTTAAGTTTGGCACATGAAAAACAACAAGCAGAACGACGTAAAATGTTTTTAGTGCAAGTTGAACGTGTAAAGTATTTGTCAAGACAAGGTTTAGCTATTCGAGGTCACGTAGAAAACGAAGGAAATGTGATACAATTATTGAAACTTCGTGAAGCTGATGTACATGGTCTTGATTCATGGGTTGAGGATGGAAATTATTTATCACACGATATTATAAATGAGATTTGTCAAATTATATCATTAACAATTATTCATGAAATAATCAAAGAAGTAAGAGTCTTTTCTTCAGAACTAAATACTTTACACTGTTCTTTGAGTACTAAGATCACTGACCGTTTTTCAAAATCTTTTGCTTTGCATTGTGTTATAGTACAAAAGAAAATATAAAACTTAGAGAAGTGGTGAAAAGATTTGGTTTTTTCACTAACTAGTTTGAAAAGACATCGAGCTCTAATTTTGATGTGTATATCATCTAGTCAAGTGACTTTTTTATCTTATCTGTCTGCCTGTCTATGTTTTCTTTAGATTTCTGAGCGAAAATTCTATAGTATCATATGTGATGCAACCAGTGATGAATCTGATATTGAACAATTATGTTTCACCATCAGATCAGTTGATAAAGACTTTATTGTGCATGAAGATGTGCTCGGATTATATGCTATAACGTCGGAAACAGCAGAACATATTACTGGAGTTATTCTCGATATTTTAATTAGATGTACCTTAAATTTAAAATATTGCAGAGGTCAAGCTTATGATGGAGCACCAGCAACGGCTGGCCATATATCCGGTGTATCTACAAGAATAAAAAGTTTATGCAGTAAAGCGTTTTTCGTTCATTGCAACGCACATTCTTTAGATCTTGTTTTACAAGATCTAAGTCGTGGCTCATTTGCTATTTCTGATGCTTTAGATATGACAAAAGATATTGTTAACTTTATCAAGGAATCTCCTAAGAGATTAAATTTATTAGATGTTATAAGTGGTTCAGATCATTATTATAAACTGAAGCCACTTTGTCCAACTCGATGGACCGTGCGTGCATCGTCCATGAATTTATTGATTATTAATTATTCACTGGTAAAAACGACATTAGGTGCAATAAGTGAAGAAGGTGGACGTCCAGCAGCAAAAGCCAATGGTTGGCAGGAAAAAATGGAAAAATTTTCATCTTATTTTGGACTTAAACTAGGTAAGTGTATAAAACTAAATATATTATTCTTTTTCCAGAAAGAAAACGTTTTAACAAGATATTCCTCTTCTCTTCAAATAATTCAAACAGAAACTGAAATACAAGAAAAGTAATTCGACTCGTTAGTTTGATTGTTTTTCGATCATCTTTTAGACAGTCAAACGTCCTTTTTATACAAATAGATGATTTAAAATAACATTGACTTTTTATTTATATCTGTATTTTTATATTTTAGCACATTTAATATTTTCTGCTACTGAAACAGTATCATGTAGTTTACAACGTGTAGATAATAATGTACAGGATATTCTATGTGCAATTGATACATTAATTAATTACTTAACGAGAATCAAAACTGATGATTATTTTAAAACATTCTATGAAGGTATACGTGATGATGCTAAATCATTAACTGATGAACCAATTTTACTACGTATTCGTAAACCACCTTCAAGATTTGATTTTTTGTCATCAGCAACACATTATGAAAATGTTTATGAATCTTATCGTCACCAATATTTTGATATTATCAATAAAATTTTAAATTTTCTAGATTTACGTTTTAATCAATCGGTATTTCCGTTATTGTGTAAAGTTGAAAAATTATTATTATTAGCAGCTAATGGTATGAAAGATGATGATATAATATGTCTGAATGATATTAATGAATTTTTAATCGATGATATCAATGTTGAACGATTACAACATGAATTACCAATGTTGTCTGATTATTTTTCAAGAATTAATAATGAAAAAAATTTAGGTATAAAACAAATTACAAAAATTAGTACCATCTGTCAATTATTAAATACATATCAAGTTGGAAAAACTATGTTTCATGAATACAATAAATTGTTGTTGCTATATTTGACAATTCCAATGACTACGGCGACTGCCGAGAGATCCTTTAGTGCTCTTAATCGAATAAAAACATATTTGCTTTGTACAATGACTCAGCGTCGTTTAAACCATGTTATTATTCCTCACATACATAAGGAAAAATTAGATCAACTTGATTTGAACAAAATCTGCTCAGATTTTATGTCAAAAAATGAAAGTCGAAAGGCCTTCTTCGGTCATGAATAGTTTTATTAATCTTATTGTATCTTTTTATTTGTTATTGAAGCACTATTCTAACATTTTACTACCGATATAGGATTTTATTTAGAACAATAAAACATCATACACTTGTTATATTTTTAGAGTAATTGACGTCAACAAGATAATCTTAAAAACTCACACTTAAAAAAGGCTTCATCTAATTTACTGTTCGAAGTATTTTGTTTGTGAAGTTGAGCTTACCCTAGACTGAAATCGTTCCGCCGCCCCTGCTAATGCATGACTTTTTCTGGAATTTTTGTTGAAAATAATATATTCTTCATCATTGTCTATTTGAGACTTTGCGTGTCGATGTAGAGTTAACTGCATTAGAAGTCGAGCGGCGCAGTTTCTTTTTAAAGGGTCAATGTACGCTTTGTTATGGGCTCTTTATTTCAAATAAACAAATGCACTGTTGCTTTACAGACGAACGCTTAATTTATCTCAGCAATAGTGTGATCACGAACTGTTGACTTTGCTTGTTCTAGTTTTGTTACGATGGATAGATCACCGACGAATTGATCTAACATCTGTTTAGAATGCGCATTGTGTTTTGTTTGTTTTCTTCTTTCCTTAGTCATACTCATACTCATACTCATATCAGGCATAAATTGTTGAACACGTGTTGTTCATTAAGGAGAGGTTTTACTGTATATTATTTCCATATAGAAGATATCTTTGTTTTATGAGGAAATTTGTGAAAGTTGATTCTAATCTAGGCATAGGTATCACTTCGATTAGATTGAATGTTCGAAATTTGATTCGTTAATCGAAGAAATATATTTTACATTACATAGTCGTCGTGTTTTGTCTATCAAAATCATATAATATTTGAATAAGTTGAAAGGCAAATTGTAGATGTGGTTAGATATATTTCCAATGTCTCGTCTGTCCATAAAATGCACCAGTTGATATAACATCATTAAAACGAATGCCTTATCAATGATGTGTAACTATTTGGAATATATCAGATGTTGAATTAAATGATGAAAATTTTCGTAACGGGAGAAAAAACATTAGATATAAAAATATATATATATGAGCCAGTCCATATAAGCCACGACCGACTTCATAGAGACCCTGTTCAATCGCGTAGCTTCTCAAAAGAGATACTTTTTAATTAAACATCATAGCTATTTAAAGTTTCATAGCTGTTTAAAATGTGGCGCCTCCAAAGCACCATCGTAGCTATTTGATTAAGTAACTATTTAAAATGTTGATAACCATTTAAACAAATGTACGCAACTATTAAATTATTTAAATAGATGATTCTTTTGTAATAGAATTTTGGATATTTTTCTGTTGAATGACGGAATAATCTAAAATTGGCAAATTTCTTTTTTCGTGAACAGTTACCAAACACTTCAAATTGCTATGAGAAGTTTTTAATAATCCTAGCCTTGAATAGCTCATAAAATGATGTACATTAATAAATCAAATGTTGCCAAGAAGGAACTAGCTATTTGCATAATATAGATATTTCCACTCAATTCTACAACCCCTGCTCTAAAACAATCAATAGGTTTCAATAAATAGCTGACACTTATTGAAATAGCTGCTCTTGAAAACATATATTTTGCAAATAAATAAATGGATGAGAGGTATTTAGCTAGCTATGAACATGTTTATAGAAGAATGCTATATTAAACGTATCTGTTTTGAGAATGGTCTATTTCGGAGCTGCTGATGGCTTCATATTATATTCAATCATCAAGATATATGAATTCTCGATTTTTTTCACTAAAATATCTGCTAAAAAATGGATCAGTAACATTAAATAAACAGAAAACACTTATTTAAATAAAAATGAAGTTTTCGACATGTATCGGGCTTTAAATAGCTAAGTAGTCTTGAAATAGCTACGAAGATATTTAGATAATGTTGAATATTAAATAGCTACATATTGAAATATTTTGAACTTAGAACTAGGCAACACCGTTCAAGATGTATTGTTTTGTCATTTTTTAAAGCTTTTTATATACAAAAAAAAATGTATCCCTTTTGAGAATGACCCCTTGCTGCAACTACTTAAATGAAATCGTTTCAAAATGTTAAGATTGAAAACGATTACTACATACACCTTAATGAAAAGACGATTAGTGGAGTATCTGCTGATTTTATTGATATTATACATTCATGTCAAAATCCACTGGCTCAATCAAAGCTTATTTCTTATCCAAGAAATCATGAAAATCAATCATTCATCAGAAATTGGTTTCATGGACAACCATGGCTAGAATACTCGATCCAAAAAGATTGTAGTTACTGTTATTATTGCCGTTATTTCAGTGTACCAACATCATCAAAAAAAGACTCAAAACTGATACATCCGTCAATAATGAATTTTAACATTGGAAAAAAAGCTTTTGATAAATTGAAAGGCTTTGATCAACATTTAAAAAGTCGCGGTCATATTTCGGCGGCCAGCAATTATGCAATGTATCAACAACAAGCATAATTACAACGCAATGTTATACATGGTTAGACAAAGGTGGAATGGAACAGATACGTCGAAACCTAGAGTGACTGACGAAAATTGCATCAACCTTATTATAAGTATTCAAACTTCTTTATTATTTTCATTATGTTGCCTGGAGAGAATGCAAGTCACTTATATTCAACTTCATGAAAAATAGGGTGCTGAGCTTCCTCCTCCAACGAGATTTTTCTGGCTACACCCCAATAATGGACCTATTAAATAAAGATGACTTTCCATATCTAAATATACATAGGACATAGTTTATTTCTTTAGAAGATCTAAACAAAAAAATGAAGATTAGTTTTTTTTAATGGAATGAAAAGATCTTGTTTTTAATGATGAATAACCCATAATTAATTTTGATAGGCGAAAATTGAAAGAATTGAACCTTAAAGACGAATAATATCTGGTTGAGTATTCAACAAGCCCATAAAATGTATTAACCTTTGTGATATACCAATACCTATACAAATCTTCATCTAAATTAACTAATTGAATTTTATCATGGTTTTCTGCATTACTTGACTATTCAAGCATATTTGAATCCCATGATTTATATAATAAACACAACAATTTTCCTGTTCGTATTAAAGCAAGTAGTTCACATTTTATTTCCTGTTGTTTTTCAATCAGCATCATCAACATTTCTAACCAAAATGTTTAACAAAGAGGTTTTTCGGTTGAATTGAATTCAGTTAAACATCAATGACAAGGAATAAAAAGATTTATTAAATAATCATCTTTGGCATTCTGAACAAATCGATTGCCGGGTTTAGGATACCAATCTTCTAATAAACTATCAAAATGGTCCATTAATATTGTTAAAAGGCGAACAAGAGTACTTTCTTGAAATAACAATTCAATTAAAAATGAATGTTCGCCTTCATTTGTACCGATCATCATTTGTAAATCACTTGTACAAAGTACAATCTCAATAAAAGATCCGAAATCATGAAATTGTTGAAGTTGTTTTTTTGCTCTTCATTAGTATGAAATTGAAAAATAATACTCGAATATGAAAGTGAAATATCATCATCAATTGGTGTAAGATTCATTTGATTAATTCGTAAAAGACAACAATCATAATAAGGAAGTTCAAAAACCAGTTTAACAAACAATTCATGAACATTCAGCAAGGAGAATTTGTTGAATTTTTTTCGAATCAGGATTCGATTGATAAGTAATAAGATCAGCAAAACAAAATTTTTGTTAATTCTTTTTGTAATTGTGTATCACCAATTAAACGTGTTGATAAACGTGGCCAAAAACTAGTTGGAATAAAGATAAAATAATAACAACGACGAACATAAGGAAATGTTTGTTCATGTTCAAATTTAATTCGAGCTAAACATTTCAGCTATAATGAGAAATGAGAATGTTCGAATGGATTGAATATTTGTTTAAATTGAACGACACTTGTCGAAGACATAAGCGCAGCACGACAATGACTGGACTGAAATTGAATTTCAAAATCAATAATTATCAGTGAAAAGTGAACACTTACAATTAGGCATGCACCAAACCCAACGGTTTGGGTTTGGGTTTGGGTATTGTGTTTGGGTTTCAGTGTCAGTTTGCTACATTAACCCACTGAACTACTGGACTTAACATGTAATGCCATTTGTGTCAAGTCTCTTCTCTATTTTTAACTATTTGTTCTGTATAGATATAAGCAAAAGCATATTTCTATTCTTCACGTTGCTAAACAATGAAATAAAGTCATTCTCAATCCCGAACGGATAGCTTGAAGAATGGATATTTTTGATCGATTTGCCTACGATCTGAATGATGAAAAATCCAAATCATATTTCTCAGTTGAAAAAGCGCTTGTTCGATGTTCTATCATAATTAAACATCGGTTTTTAGAGGAAGGAATCCAAAACCGAACTTCATTTCCCTCAAAACTACATTAGTAGATCAAGAGCTAATAGAAATTAACGTTTTGGAGAGTTAGCCTTCGTAGGATAGTTTGCCATACGATGGTTCATTGACTGCGCTGCAGTATCACACACTCAGGAAATTGGGGAAGCTGAAGATGTGCAGGAAGATGCAGCATTTTCCGCCGGGGTCCTTGCTAAAAAAAAACATTTATCGCGCGTTGCTGCGTCTCTACAGGAGATACAGCATCTCCGGCTGGGATCCCAGGCTATAAATCGAAATACCCTTTCCTTAGGAGATGCTTGGAAATATCGATACGGGAGATGCCACATTTTCTGGGGCGAAGAGCATGAAGATTTTCTATTTTATTTTTAGGCTGACAATG